CACCCTCCTGGTCTACCTGGACCAAGGTGGTGCTGTGGGTACGGCTGCCAACCCTCCAGGATTGTCCCAGAGTCTTCAGGAATTAAAAGATTATGTCATGTGATGAACCCTCCACTAATACTGCCAATCAAAGTTGGCAACCTTAGCTGTGGGGCAGGGCAGCACGCCCCCTTTGAGGGGCATGAACAGCGCCCATAGCAATTCCCAGGAAGGGTCTCATGCCTAGGTCTGGGGTGCCCCCTATGGGGGGCAGGAGCATTGCATGCTGGGACCTCAAACAGGCCGTGTTAAGGCGGTGCCCCCCACCCCCGGGCTGAACCATGGGCTGTTCTCCGGGCCTCCCCACCCTAGGGTGACCAGACAGCAAATGTGAAAAATCGGGACAGGGGTGGGGGTAAAAGGAGCCCATATAAAAAAAGCCCCAAATATCGGGACTGTCCCTATAAAATCGGGACATCTGGTCACCCTACCCCACCCCCCGACTCTTAGGCCAGCCGGGGGCAGAGCAGAGAATACGCACCAGCCTGCCCAGCTTCCCCCTCCCGTGCTGTGGAATGGCCTCGTCGTCAAGCATCGGACGCCTGAGCCTGTTGCTAGGGGACAAAACCATTCCAGCAGGAAGGGGGGGGTTCAACTCTCCCCCCACCCCGCCTGTGAAATATTAACAGCCCTAAATTCAGTGGTTCGTTCCTACAAGGGCTACTTCTGCTCCCATAGGTCAGGCTTCCCCCCGTTTGTATGGCGTTTGAACGTGCATTGCGCCCTCCAGCCTTTAGTGAATTTGGTTGCGTCCACGCAGAGCCTGAAGGGGAAGGGGAGAGTGGAAGACGAGGAGAGTGGGACGGAGCTGCATGCTAGAACGTCCCATGCCAAACCGGAAGTTGGCCTCTCTTGCCGCTCAGGAGGCTACTCGGTGGTCAGTGCAGCAGCCTACTGGTTTGGAAGGCAGGAAAGGGTATTTAGTGCACCCAGCAGCTGTAGTGCCTAGGACTTGGGTTAAGGGAATTCCACAGCCACTGCTTTTATAGCTTCCCCTCGAGGCTACTTCTGGGCCATCCCCTTGTGGCTGGCACTGAACTGGCATGCTGGAGATGTGGGTTCCAGTCCTTGTGCTGGCAAAAGGTGACCCTCAGAATGGTGTTAATCATAGAATATCAGAGTTGGAAGGGACCTCAAGAGGTCATCTAGTCCAACCCCCTGCTCAAAGCAGGAC